AGAGCAAACTAAAACAAATTTTTGAATGAAAAGTTATGGGAAAAGAACTTAGCTCTTTATTATATAACAGTATACATTTTTTAAAAAGATGTTTTTAGGGGGTAGTCCTTTTGTAGTTTTAGCAAGATATCATGTAAGGAAACAAGTCAACATTGTGTTGAAAAATATCTCCATATTATTTCTTTTTACTAGAATGGCAGTTTTGCCCCAACATAATCCCTATCATTCCAGCTAACTCCTACCTAAACATATGATATATAAAATGAAAGCCATGATAAAATTAGTCTCATTAACTGCTAGATCTGTTGTTTAATCTTTAGGTAAAAGTGATCAATTGATTTATTCTTCCCATACTATTCTTTCTCTATACTATCAGCTATATTAATGTTTAAAAATTGGCAGCTTTAATTTAGGGTGCTATCTCTTAAGTCATTTACAGTTTTTTGTTTGGGTAAGAGAATTCATTGAAGTGGATATTCCATAACTTTTTGGTTAATAAATTGGCTCAAGTCACATTTTGAGCCCATAACTTTTTTGATATGAAAGTACATAGAAAATATGTTTTGTGTCTGTAAAAGTATCTGCTATCTTTTGAATATGATTTTTAGTACCATCTTAATACTTTATTTAAAAAGCAGAATATACCCTTATATTTGGCTTCCTCAAAGAGATATGCTTTAAAGCTAATCTGCTCAATATTGGCTCAGAAATTTAAAAGATTTTACTTAACATCAATTTAACTGTTTTTTTATAGCTGATAATTTTAACATTTGGCTTTTCTGTTATACTATTTCTGAATAGTAATGAAACACTATATTTCATTTGGATGATGTTAATATAAATATGTAACCAAATACTGGAAATTTTCCAATCAACCCACTACCAACCATAAACTCTAATGCATGGTCAATTTTTATGACTATCATTTTTAATATACTAAAATACTCAATAACTGGTACTTGCACATAACATGAAAAATTAATTTTTAACAAAATTTTATTCAACGCATTAGGAAAATCATTTTCGAAACACAGAAACAATCACACTATAACAATGCTGCATAGATAGTGGTATACAAGTTCCCTGACGCTTAGTGACTTCTAACAGAAACTTCAATTTTCAAGTTACCAAGTAGAAAATGGTAGAGGCATTATTTCACCTTTCTGAGGCTAGAAAAATGGCTTTGATGATGAGAAGTGACACATTTAAACAACGATTAGATTACCACCAATTTAATTATATTCCCCTCTTGTTATTTCCCAGAGATGAAACTTAGAATATAAGAATTACTAGAAGGAAAAAGGAGGTAAATTACCTCTTAGAAAATATCCTGATCAGTGCCTGCTTTAATCAGATAAAACACTGAGATGAGTTTTAAAAATTATAACCACACCATTATGCTTAATGGTCAATATGAACACTTTTTTACATAATACATTTTACATAATAAATGATTTGTTTTCAATCCTTTGACCTTAAGTGAAAAAAGTTACTAATGAGGATTTGAAAAATAATTTTAATGGCAGATGGCAGAATATTAACTTTACAGAGATTAAAATCATTTCTGAGTACTGAAAATACCTATATCAATGAGAAATTGCTAAATTTCTTTTTATAAGATTACTTTTCGAAAGAGAAGGCAATTTATTTGGAAGAAATCTGCAGCTGAAAACATTGTTAAGAAAACATGGTTACCCTGAGAAAGACTTAAAATTGCCATTACTTTCAGAAGCCCCCAACAATGCATGTAGGAGCAACTTATAAGCTCTAGTCTCTTGAGTTACCTACACAAAAAAAATGTTTTGATCTAAACAATAGTTTGGGCTTTTATGCTATACTGGTAACAGGTTACAAGCAAGACATCTGAATGTGATCGATTTTAAGCAAATTTTGCATTAATTTCAGGGAGACTTCTTCCTTTTTTCTTTTTGAAGAAAGAGTTTGTAATTCTACTAATAGTCTTCTGTAAGCAAATGTGTAGTTTTCTTAACAAGAGTAAACAAATTGTCTGGTCTACATCCTCTAATCTATGCCTAGAAAATAAGGCATTGGTAATTCTTCATTGGCCACTGCAGAACAGACAGTGTTTTCTTTCTAATAAGAGGCATATCCAAACATTCCTCAAAGTGCACTGTTATTTTTAACATCTCTTATGCATTTACGGAGTCAGAATTTATGACTCTCTACATATTTTTAGTATAAAATGATGCTTATTCTCAACATTTTATATATACCATAATACTTGAGAAAAGACAAAGTGAGAGCAGCTATAGAAGTAGCAAGATATTTTTCAAAAATAAAAAAAAAAAAACAACGTACAAAAAATGGCAAGTGAGTGATAACTGGTAGTATGAACTCTCAATAGCATTCCACTTTGGGTTCCAAATTAAGATTTGACAAGTTTAAAACCTTGTCCTGTGTCCAGCACAGTAGGAAGAAACCAACTCATTTTTAACCTTTTCAAGCACCTAAAACAACTTTTGCAGATCCAAAAAAGGTTCAGACCACACAACCAATTTGCCAAATGCACTAGTGGATATGTAATACGAGGAAAGTGTAGCATCCAGTGCTTGGCTACATCATTTCCCGTTGGCAAATGCAGAGTGTAGTCACTCCACTGTTTTGATACACCATATACTGCTTTCACTGTGCGTCCCTTTTCAGTCCAGCAGATGTTATTACTGGAGTTGCAGTTATATTCTACCCAGTCTTTTGTAAAGTCACCTAGCTGTGGTGGGTCAGCTTCTTCGATATCTATTGACTTTGTCATCTCTGCTCCTTGCACTGCAATATACTGGTCATTGATTTTTCTTACTTCTTTTATCCAAGGAGTTGAATTCTCACTGTCTAATATAATAATAAGGCGGGAACAGAAGGAACCATTTTTTTCCCTCCACCATTCTAAAAGTGTGTCAAGGCGTAGTATGTCTCCACCTGTGAACAAAAGAAAATTCATTAGAGTAATAATTTCTGAACCCTCTCATTAAGAATACTTTTCTGTCTTAAGTGTATTTTCTTTAAATTCTTGTATTTAAGTATGTGGGGGGAAAAAAATAGGATCTTCCTTTCAAAGTATCTTTTCAGAAAATTTTTAAAAACAAAAACATTCAATTTCAGGTAAAAAAAAACACCAATCATTCTTACAACTCACATGAAAAAAAAAAGGACATGCTATAATAAATCAAGAAAATATTTTATAAAGTTAAATTTTGTGAAAAAAATAAAATTATAAAGGAAAGCTAATATTCTACATTGAAAGCAGCAAATCCAGACTGTTACCTGTCTTGGTACAGACTAAGAGCTAAGAATTGATTTTACAGTTTTTACATGGTTGAAAAATCCAGTATTTTTTCATGGGGAAATATAGAAAATTTAAATTTCATATCATTGTTTCCATAAATCACATTCATTTTCACTTTGTGTATGGCTGCTTTTCAACTAAAATGGCAGAGTTGAGTAGTTGCAAAAGGGACCTTATGGCCCATAAAGCCAAAAACATCTGGCCCTTTTCAGAAAAAGGTTTGCCAATCTTGTTCTATACCACTAATAAAATAATGTTACCTTATCCTCATATGTAGATAGCTACTAAATGAAAAAGAAACTCTTCTTCCCTGTACCAAGAATGAGTTTAGAATAACTTTACTGTTAAGTCAGTTTTATACCTGAAAAACAGCAAAGGATTAAAAATAGTTACCCAGAAAGGTCTAAAGTAAACCAATTTGAACTAGAAACCTGTCTTATAGCTAACAGGTTTTCCATTTGCATTAATTTTGATTTTTAAATGTTACATTAAAATAATACCTTGATTATTTAATTTTTGGCACCCTCTTAAATTTCATGCCTGAGGCCAATTGCTATCCTCACCTTACCCTAGTCTTGGCTCTCTTAATGGTACACTGATACTGTCACTACAATTCCAGATATTTATCCTAAAAAAAGAGCAGAAATGGGGGCAAAAAATTACATACAAAGATCTTCTTCCCTCTCTTATCTAAGGCAGTGTAAAATCTGAAACAGCTAGGAGGAATGGAAATAAATTATGGTAAAACCTTATTAGGAAACTTTATAATAAAATGGTATTTATAAAGCAATTTTAATGACATGAAAATATCTGAAATTAGAAGAAGCATGACACAGAATTTTATCTACAAAAATAATAGCAGTAGTTATTGCTGGGTGTTTGGATTTCAGGTGGCTTTTATTATATTTTTCTATATTTTCCAAAATTTTTACACTGAGCATATGTTACTTTTATAATTAGAAAAAGTTTTAACATGCTACAATTTACTAGCGCAAGATCCAAAATCTAACTTCAGAACACACACTTCTACCAAGAGCAATCATACTCTTTGCTAAATTATCAAAATTACAACACCAGAGTGAGAAAGAATCCTTCAGAATTTAGATTCTATTAGTAGTCTACGGCCATGCCACCCTGAACAAGCCTGATCCCGTCTGATCTCAGAAGCTAAGCAGGGTCGGGCCTGGTTAGTACTTAGATAGGAGACCACCTAGGAAGACCAGTTGCTGTAGGCGTCAAAAAAAATAAATAAAAAAATAGAGATTGTAAGATGACAAGGTCCTTGCAATCTGTGAGGTCAACCAAGGGTTGCCTCGCCTAAAAAAAATAAATTGGATTCTATTAGAAATATGACCTCTGAAGTCAGGGTATATCATGTTCCTTATGAATAATTAATTTTCTTTTATTCTTCAGCCTGCTATATTTTAGACTCTGACAATGAAAAATTTGTTTCATAAATTGGCCTTAAACATGCATATCATCTCAAAGATACTGTATCAATACACAGTCTCCACATATTACTAATGTGTTGTTTTACAGATACTTCCTGAAGATACCTTTCCAAAGATGGTCAAATGTTAACTTTTCATTATTGCCAATTCTATTAAATTTCTCTAGAGATCAGAGGATGACAGATTACAGAGCTATTATACAAATTCCATCTGCCACAAAACATGACTATATAATCTGTCTTCCACACTATTTCAATAAATATTCTTCAGCACATTCTACACTAATTCTCTTATACACATGTTCTTTAGATATCAACAGGAGACTTAAAGAAGCACTAAAGCCTTTTAAACACTATTTCTCCTCTCTTGTTTTGCTCTGCTTTCTCTTATAAATTGGTTCTTGGCTTTTGGTCCAGATGTACTTACATTTATTTCATGTAACAACCAACAGATGCAGTTCAAGTAACCGAGATTGCTTTTTAAAGGCTTTGTCTGTGATAAAGTGCTTTGCAAATAATCTACATTTTTTTTCATTTATTGCTCTCTTATTACTATCATTGTTTTTTACTCTCAAGTAAAAAGGCAAAAATATCAGGGTCCATATTGTAAAACCCCATAAGTATAAGAAGACTACATATTCTAAGAAGTACTATGAGTAAAGGTATGGGATAAAGGGCAAATATATATTCTTTTTCTCGCAGTGATATTTAGTTTTGAATCTGCTCTTAACTTGCTAACTCACATAAAATCCAGTCATGATGTTTCTCCTATTATAGAGGTTTTTAGAAACTATTAAAAAAATTCTTAGAGCGTAGAGTTCTTTGTGTCACTTGATTTAGAATGGATTAAAGCATCTTCTTCAGAGCAGGGGTGTTCAATGCTATTTCTGAGGTAGAGATGGCCTTTGAGAGCTGTGTCTCTGGCAGTACCTGACTGAAAAGAGGGCTCAGTATCTGGGCCTGGTTCAACCTGGTTACCAGCAAGTGAGCCACGTGCTTCAGGTATGAGTATACAAATGCTGAATTATGCAACAAAACCTATCCCTCTAGGGGAGGGCCCTATCAAGCTTTGCTCTCTCCATTGTTTTGTTTTGTTTTGTTTTTTCCTACTTTTTAATAATAAAGTCTCTGATAAAGAAAGTTACACATAAGGAATAAATCTTGGTTAATAGAGAAATTCGATAATGGTCTATTGGTAACGTACTTCAAAAAATATAAAGATACTATTCCAGAAAGTAATTGCTTGACATTTACCTAAAATATAACCTGACTTTAGAGTTTTTAAATCTTCATAAATTATTCCTGATAGTGAATGAAAATTTCAGAAGACCGATATATATATACACACTATATATCTTGGTTGTTTATTTACTTTTCCTAAGAAAAGGCTGACACAAATATTAGTAAACTGGACACCGAGAATTTATTTCCAAAGCTATGTTTTTAAAAATATACTTTAAATAAATTTTAAGATTTAAGAAAAATGCAAACTTTCTGCAAAATTTTTATATTAATAAATCCTTCACATAAATATGTTTACTTTTAAAATTACTTTCTCATAATATCTAAAAATAACTAAGGATTTATGATAACCACAAAATTATGCTTTTTTCCATTTCATTTGGGGATAGTTTATTATATTATAAGCATTTCAGGAACATTTCAGTAATCAATCCCGCTTTTAGCTCTGAAATTCTACATCTCTAAAGATTTTTTAATTAACTAGAACTTTTTCTCTTGTGCTCTTAAGTACACAGAATACTACTTTACCTGGAATTGAAGCAGCCATAAAAGTTAAAAAGTTGTCTGCTATATTGAGTTATTAAAAAGTTAAGGTTTTATAAACTATATTCAAGTTGTTTTAATGTTGACTACCTTCTTTTCTACATTGTACATTTTTAAAATGGGTGAACCATGCTAACAAAAACATCTGCTTAACCAGAATATGCCCTTTCTCTACGTTCATGTTTTTTGTTTCTTGGTTTTTTTTGCTTTTGGTGGCAACATGGTATAATGAGGAAAAAAAATACATTTTAGGAGTCAGGCAGATCTGAGCTTGAATCATGGTTCTCTCACTTATCAACAGTATGACCAATAGATAAGTTATGTAACTACTTTCAGCTTTAATTTCATCCTTTAAAAAATGTAGATGACAGAGGTAACAGTATTTACCTCAAAAGATTTCAAGTGAAGATTAAATCTAATGTGTATAAAGTACCAAGCATAGTGGTTATGCTTCAAATGTGCCCAATAAATGTTGGTTTGCCAGTATTCCTAATCAGCCATTGAGATATTCAATATTTATTTATAAAAATAAAAAATTACAATAATATTTTTCTTTATGATAAAACCCTGATTACAAATCTGGCAGAAATTAGTGACACCATGGTGGCTTAAAATCATCTCTACTTTAACCTTGAGTTTGTTTCCTTCTTTCTGGAGTTCCTGTACTGGCTCTGCCTTTGTCCTTCTATAATAGTTCTGTTTATATTTTTATTTGATCTGAAACATTATTTATATTTATTTTTCGGATTATCATTTTTATGTGTTCTTGGCATAAAACATCTAAAATATTTTATTTAAAAAGGATATAGTTAAACCTAAAAGAACTATTTCTAATCTAAAATAAGAAATTTACCCTTTTTTGCATGATTTAATGATTTCAACTGTCAATTATTTAGGAATCCCCTAATATGTGCCAGGCTCTGTTCTAGGTACAAAACAAATAATTCATAAAACAAAGTCCTTGACTTACAGGGTGTCTATTCCAGTTGGGAAAACCAACAAACAAATTTACATATAATATAGAGAGATCTCATTTCTCCTTTGGCAGGGAGATTTAATATTATCCTCTTATTTTACAGATAAGAGAACCAAAGTCAGAGAAGTTATATAACTTACCTAAATAACACTACTGTGGCAAATTAGGACCAAAACCAAAGTCTCTTGACCTAGGTGATTCTCCCACCATATCACATCAGCTGCTTTTTAAAATTCTAGTGAACTTTCTAACATAAATAAAACTGTACATGTGAAAGACTATTAAAATCAGCACCCATAACATTTAGACTTGAAAGTACTAGTCAAATAAGTTAATCAGTTCATGAAAAATGTTACTATTTCTAATAATTCTGAAAATACATTGAAGTGAAACTGATTATAAGTCTTAGATCAAACGGTCAGATTTTTTTCTTCCAATAAATATAATTCTCAAAACTTTTGGAGATTACTAAAATTATTGTAACAGGTAGAGAAAAGAAAAAAAAACAAGTCATATGCATACTTGGTAAACTGTATAGTAGAAAATTGAGAATTCTGAAAATTTAGTGTTTCAGTATGAAGGACAGATTTCCACAATAGGTATATCTCCAATAGTGAAACTGCCAGAGATGACTTTACCTGCAAGAGCCCACTCTCCTGTACCATGGGTATGCCCACTGTAATACAAAACATATGTATCGTGTCTAGGTCCATCAACAGTCCGAAGTTCAAGGAAAGCTTTCAGTTTGGAATGTAGAGTATCAAAAGACAGTCCACTTGTGGAATAGTCACATCCATAGGTCTCAATCATATGATACGCAAAAAATCTTTGAATAGCATTGAGCATGCCAGTAGACCTCAAATTTAACTCCTGTACATGTTCTGGTGGAAGAAGTGTTGGCTGACCATCAGGACTGAAGAAGGAGAAAAAGATTATTTTGGTGTTTAAGAAGTATTCATTCTATGTCACATTTTTATCCTTCATTTATAATTAATTACCTAGGAATTATAATAGTTGCTGTCAACTAAATGGCAAGACTTTTTAAAAAATCATCTTTTCTAAAATTCCTATAGTGCTAAGAACTAGGCTTTGAAAATCAAAGCCTAGTTTCTAAAAATTATATTTCTTATCAATAAAACAATAATCAAACTGAAAGCTGAAAGAATAATATCTCCAAATGTTGACAGTACTAACTCTTTATTCTTTATTCATATCTTCTCACCAAATGACAGGTATTGTACAAGGTTTATTAAAAGCAAAATTATACTAATTTTACTCCAAAAATGTTTTAAGAACACCTGGGTGGGGACTATCATGAAGACTTTTCTTTCTTGAGAAAATACTTTTAATAAAATATGGAAGTAATATTTTAAATTATATATTTAATTTCTATATTTAAAAATGTCTTTATAAAGTTGTGTTCAAGTTTTACCAACATAAGATACATACATTATAGAAGAAGTTACCTATTAGTAAATGGCATTTAAAAACAATTATTAAAATCTAGGTCCTGGAACAAATGTACAATGGTACTCTATAGTAAAGATGATAAATAAGGTCCTACAACTAGCAAAATCAAAATACTATCAAAATTAAGGGCACAAGGAAACCATCACTACTATCCAAAAAGGAATTTCTACCAGGAATTTTGAAAACTTTACATTTTGCTTCATGTATCAACAATATTATTCTTATAACACTTCAGTTTTCATTAAAAGAATAAAAATTTTGTTCCATGTTTGTAATACTTAACAATTACAAAAACAATAATAAGAAGAAATACATAAAAATTATAATGGAATAAAAATCTAACTACGCAAATTACTTTTTCCATGCAGTCGTCACATCTTACTTTACAAGACCCTTCTAAATCTATTTTATTTCTCATGAGAATCTTCAACTTTTTATTAAGTCTTTAACATGGAGGAAAATATTTAATACAAATAGTCTATTTGGGGATTTTATGTCAAATATTTGAAAACAGATAATAAAATTTTGATTTCAAGGCCTCCCCACCCCAAGGAAAGTTATGATGAAAACTTATTTGGTCATTAGAATTCATTAATGGCGAAGAACTCATTTTTTCTATTACAAAGGTACTTAACTATATAAAAGAAAAATTTTAATGTGGCAATACTTACAGATTCAGATAGATCTGCCACATATTTGGGATCAAAAATTATTTCGAAATATAACTGCAATCAAATATATATTTTATATATATACACAAATATGGATATTTATATATACAATATATATAAAAAATATATTGCCAATCTTCTGAATTTCTGATATTTGTATTTTCTAGTGGGCAGAGTGTTTTTATATTCATATTCTCATTAGCTCTTTATAACATTCCTCTGAGATGGGCAGAATAGGTATCGTTGTTTACATTTTAGATAAAGACACTGAGAGGTTCAGAGAAGTTATGATTTGCCTATGGCAACACAGAACTAGAATTTAGGACTCTCAGGTCCAGTGCACATTCTATTATATTTCACCATGTTGTTTCATGGGACATTTCCTTAAACAAGATATCCCTTTCTAAAGAAAGGGTAGGATGTTTCCCTAGAAAATTCTTTCATATTTCCTGATTTCTAGCTAAAATAAAAGCTAATCACACTTAACAAAAAAATATTTAAATTGAATCCTGAAGATTATATTATTACTTAGAGTAAAAGCTTTTAAACATTTGGAATAAAAAAAAATGCAATAGTATTATATTTTGAAAATATTAGTTTTGAGAACATGAATTATCAAATTTTATATCTATAGTCATACAAATATTAAGAAAATGTTAAGAATCAAATAGTTATTACTAATTACTGTATACTAGATTACTGTACCTGCAGAAGTTGGTGGGAATCACAATAGCATATCCAACGGATGTTCCTCCTAAACAGTTACCCAGTTCATGGAAGAGCCCATGAGCCATGGATTCCAATGGCAAAACAATCAGAAACATGCTCAAGAAGATTCCATTTGCTGGCTAAAAGAAATTATTTAAAATAGCATGTTTACTTAGTGTAACGGTATTTATGTGTGTGCATGTATATATATATATTTACATACATGAATAATATTTACTTACATTTCTGGCCATTACTTCCAAAAAGAATAAAAAGGACAATGAATGATCTAAGAACAATTATAAGTTGAAGCAGACAAGAATAAATGGATACGCAATAAACCCTAAATTTATCTCTAAGCTTCTTGGAAGTCATGGCAAAAAAACAGCACATAGTTTTTAAATTTGTCAGATAATGACACACTCAAACTAAAAAACAAAACAAACATAACCTTTGCTCTTGATAAGTCTGAGAAAAAGCCAGAGAACAAATTCTTTCCCCTTAAAATCCACATGACCTAAATCATTTTTCAAATAACACATTCATTTACTTTATCAGAAAAGAAACTTCAGGAGGTATTCCTTTTTTTTTTTCTGTGAAAAGTCCAGAAATTAAGGGAATAAAATCTTTAAAAAAATTCAAGATGCTAAAGCTATCAAAATGAATTCAATTTAACTTATAGTTTTCCTTTGAAAAGCTTTAGACTCACTATAGACTAATTTTAAAATTGTAAAAATAATAATAATAATAAAGGACACTTAGGACCCATTTAAGTGAAAAGAAAATTAAGGATGACAGTTACTCAGTCCTGATCTATATCTTACAATACTGATACTATTCTACATTCTGTGTTGCTACTGCACATACTACACAGTCATGGTCCTGTGTTCATGAACACAAATTTTTCTAACACAAGGTGGTTCATTTGACCAGAATTTAATATAAAATAGAAAGCTGACTCCCATAACAGAAAAATGGACAAAATGCCCTATTTTTGGTACATTCTATGTTACCAATTACATAATATAGTACATGCCCAATTTAGAAACATTAGAAAGTACAAAGAAGTAAAAGAGTGCTTAAAATTATTGCAAGTACTATCATCCACATACACAGGTATTATCTTTTTAAAATACTTCAAAACACCCTGCAATATATGTTCATGAAAATATATTTATATATTTACCAGAGATGACATTTAATGTTTACATTGTAAACTTTCGAATATATTGTATACCTATTAACTCTAAAAATCACTTGTGAAGACCAAATGGCATTCCTATCATTTGTATGAAATTTTATTTAGCTTATTACCTATTATTGCTATTTAGATTCCTCTTAATTTGCTATTATGATAAACAAAACCAGAATAAGCATTTAGTTTTCTGATTATGTTAAGTACCTCTGATCATTTGGATTTCACCTTTGATGAAGTGTTAAATATTTTGCCCACTTTTCTATGGGGCTACTATTTTTTACTGATTTACAGCTATGTTTTGCTGTCATTTTAGATAAAGGTCTTTTATTGGTGGTATTGCAAATGCAGGCATACCTCATTTTATTTTGCTTTGTTTTATTATGCTTTGCAGATTTTTTTTTTTTTTTCAAATAGAAGGTCTGTGGCAACTCTACATTTAAGCAAGTCTATCAGCATGTCTCTGTGTCACATTTAGGTAATTCTTGTAATATTTCAAATTTTTTCATTATTATTATGTTTGTTATGGTTTTCTGTGATCAGTGATCTTTGGTGTTACTACTGTAATTGTTTTGGGGTACCACGAATCATGTCCACATAAGACGGTGAACTTAATCGATAAATGTTTTGGTGAGTTCTGACTGTTGCCCCATCTCTCTCCCTCTCCTAGAGTCTATTCTGTGAGACACAACAATTTTGAAATTAGGCCAATTAATAACCCTACAATGGCCTCCAAGTATTCAAGTGAAAGGAATTGTGCATCTCTCACTTTAAATCAAAAGCTAAAAATAATTAAGCTTAGTGAGGAAGGCATATCAAAAGCTGAGATAGGCCAAAAGCTGGGTCTCTTGTGCCAAATAGCCAAGTGTGGATGCAAAGAAAAAGTTCTTGAAGAAAATTAAAAGTGCTATTCCAGTGAACACTCAAATAAGGAAGCAAAACAGCCTTCTTGCTGATATGGAGAAAGTTTTAGGTATCTGGATAGAAGATCTGTAAGTGGAATAAGGCCTGGATGACAACACATCTGTTTACAACACGGTTTACTGAACATTTTAAGCCTACTGTTGAGACCTACTGCTCAAAAAAAAAAAAAAAAAAAAAAAAAGTCCTTTTAAAATATTACTGCTCACTGGCAATGTACCTGGTCACCCAAGAGCTCTGATGGAGATGGATTAATGTTGTTTTCATGCCTGCTAACACAATATCCATTCTGCAGTCCATGGATCCGGAAGCAATTTCAGCTTTCCAGTCTTATTATTTAAGAAATACATTTTCTAAGGCTATAGCTGCCTTAGATAGTGATTCCTCTGATGGATCTGGGCAAAGTAAATTGAAAATCTTTTGGAAAGGATTCACCATTCTGGATGCCATGAAGAACATTTATAATTCATGGGAAGAGGTCAAAATACCAACATTAACAGGAGTTTGAAAGATGATTCCAGCCCTCATGGGTGACTTTGAGGAATTTAAGACTTCAGTGGAGGAAGTAACTGAAGTTGTGGAAACTGAGAACTAGAATTAGAAGTGGAGCCTGAAAATGTGACTCAGTGGTGGCAATCTCATGATAAAACTTGAATGGATAAGGAATTCCTTCTTATAGATGAGTAAAGGAAGTGATTTCTTAAGACAGAATCTACCACTGAAGACAGTTGAAATGAAAACAAGAGATTTAGAATATTATATAAACTTAGTTAATAAAGCAGCATCAGGGTTTGAGAAGACTGACTCCAAATTTGCACTTGATCTTAGCCAAAAGGCTGAGAAGCAATTGACTCCAATTTTGAACGAAGTTCTGTGAGTAAAATGCTATCAAACAGCATTGCATGCTACAGAGAAATCATTTGTAAAAGGAAGTCAATTAATGTGGCAAACTTCATTGTCTTATTTTAAGAAACTGCCAGAGCCACCTAACCTTCAGCAACCACCACCCTGATCAGTCAGCAGCCAGCAACATCAAGGCAAGATCCTCTACCAGCAAAAAAAAAAAGTATGACTCAGTGAAGGCTCAGATGATAGCATTTTTTAGCAATAAACTTTTTGGAATTAAGGTACACTATCTTTTGAGACATAATGCCTTTGTACTCAGTAGACAACATTATAGTGTAAACAGACTTTTATATGCATCAAAAAACAAAAAAATTAATGTGACTCACTTTATTATGATATTTACTTTAATGCAGTGGTCGGGAACCAAACCCGTGACATATCCAAGGTGTGTCTGTACTTTTCCAACTCTGACTCCCTTAATGCTGTTTTTTGCTTAATATAAGTTCTTACATGTAATAGTCATTTTGTTTCTTGTTAAATAAATCTTCCTCCACCCAAAGGTTAATGAGATATTTCACATTACCCTCTAAAGGACTTATTGTTTTTGCCCTTCACATTTAGGTTTATAATCCAAATGTAATTGGTCTTTATGATAATAGTCCAATTTTATTTTTTCTATATGAAGACTCAATTTCCAATTATTAAAAATATCAATCATTCCACATTACTTTGTGATAAATCAATTATTAAGGGATCTGTTTTTGTACTCTCTTCTGTTTCACTGGTCTACTTGTATATTACTTCAAATATTTCCTTTGCATTTTATTTCCTCCTATCTTTCTGGTCCTCCGATAAAATACAGATTAAGATCTTAGTGTATCCTCTTTGAGTTTTACCCTTTTCTTCTGTATAGAATTTTCTCTATTTCTTTCCTTTTCTATGCTCCTCATACAGTTCTTCTGAACTATACCTTCCAGTTCACTAATGCTTGCTTCAGCTTTACCTAATCTGTTAAGCTTGTACACTGAATTAATTTCAGGTACTTTATTTTCTGATTCTAAAACTTCTGTTTAGTTCTTTTTCAAATCTGCCTTGTCACTTTTTATAGTTTCCAACTTCCCACCATTATGTAATACCTTTGCTTTTATTATCAACTTTGTATGATGGTTTTCTATCTGTGTTTGATAATTCCGATATCTCAGCACATTTTGGTCCCTCTCCCTTCTGTTGGTTCAGCTGCTTCTTGTTCTTATCGCCAGGTGTGTATGCCTAATTATATTTAGGAGTTGAACACTGTATGTTAAAAAAAAAAATCATTATGTGGCTAATTTCAGGCCTAGGAAAATGGTACCTTCTCCAAGAGGACTTTTGTTTGTTTCTTCCAGGGAACTGGGGGCTTTACCACACTACCTATCTTAATTACGGTTTGACCACTTAATCCAGGTTGGATCATAACAGGACACAAGGTCGGGATGCAAATTCAGGAGAGGACTATAATATACATGACTCCACCATCTTCCTTTGGTGTGTCATCTTAAAACGAGAGGTCATTTACCAGAGATCCCACCTTTGAAGGCTCTGGGCTTTGATTTTTGCTCCTCTTGATAGCATCAGAAGTGCAGCTCAGCTTAGAAAACTGTCTCCACTATACCAACAAATGTCTGCAAAGCAGTCTTCAGTCTTTCTCTCCCAGAAGGTATGGTATATTTTTCTATTTCTTCAAGTTTTATCATCTTCAGTAAAGTCTTATAGTATTTCTTTATAAAAATTTCATAAGTTTTTTTTAAACATTATTTCTAGGTACTTTATGTTTCTGTTCTATGAATGGAATCATTTCTATAAATGAACTCATTTCCATTATATTTTCTAACTAATTACTGATTTCCAGGATACTGATTTTTGTATATTCACATTATCATTTGCCACCTAAATGACATTAAAAAATGTATCTTCAGAGGCTGACGTAAGCAACATGGCAAACCGAGAAGATGCATTTGGATTTCCTCTTAAATTTACAAGTCGGAGGTCTATAATATAACAAAGGTTCCTCTGTTCAACAAACATGCCTGAGTGATACACAAATTGGTACATCTAAAAGTGGGCATATTGGAACACATAGGTAGGTAGTTCAGTGCCTGTCACGACCCCAACTAATGTGGTAGAGGAGGAATTGGAGTG